TCTTGTCAGCCCACTACCTTTATTTTTTTCAATGATTTGTTCTGAAAGCAACCACTTAAAAGCGTACCCATGTTTCCTAGAATATGGCTCCATTAGAATGCTGCCAAAATGAAACATCTTAAATCCAGTCACATTTGAGAAACTTGGTCATCTTGCTCTCCAGTTCCATTTTCAGATGAGAATATCTTCCCCGGTGTTAGCTGGGTCCACTCCTGGTCCAGTGGAAGGCAGTTTCAGGGAAAGAGGACTTATAAGTAACATAGGAACACAGTTGACTACTTTCTTCTTTTCAATTCTGTGTAGGCTCCAGGAACACCAAGAAGGAACACAACTTTTAAGGCTATTACCTCAGAAGATAGCTTACTATTTAAAAAAAAAAATCTCATTTTAAATGAGAACTTTCTAAAAACATTTTATAAATGAGGTCAAACTCATCTGTTGTCATTTACCAACATTATCAGTCCAATATGAACCAGTAAACTATGACTTAAAACTGTCCCTCTCCAACTTCGTTATTGCTTTGAGGTACAAAAGATATGCACTCATACATCAGAGGAAATTAATTTTGGATATTTCAGTTTTCTCCGAATCTGATGAGGAAGTTGGAGAGCAAAAAGGAAAAAAAATATAATATTAAATGAGCCAGCCTCATTGGCTTATTGTCTGTACCCAGCTACCCAGGAGGCTGACACAAGAAGGTCACAAGTTCAAGTTTAGCCTGGGCAACTCAGCAACACTCTGTCCCAAAAATGAACACAGAAAAAGATGACGTGTCTGTGTGCTGGGGATGAAGTTTTGTGGTACAGCCTTCAATATAAAAAAAAAAAAAATTCAGGCTGAGCTCATCAAGGTTACCAGAGCTACCTCACCCAAACGGAGGTGGAACCTGAGGAAACAAAATAAATAAATGAGTTTTCTAAGCCCTAAATTTGCAAGGGAGAAAAAAAATAAATTGTGCACTTTTAATCTCAAGGTAATTATTACTATTAATTTTAACCTCAAAGGTATCTTGAGGTAATGTTATAGATATAAATCTTAATAGCTAAAGAATATGAAGGAAGTTTGGAAGTATGAGAGAACTTAGAACTAGACTAATTTTCTCCACATGAAATATATGGTCAAGCAAGTGTTTATTAAAGCAGTTACACTAAACAATCAAATGCTATTGATCAAGACTCTCCTGTGGGGGGAGGGGGGGCAAAGAGGCATTAGACATGGTTGCCCTTTTCCATAGGTAGAAGTCTGTAAAGGGTATAAGACATGAAAATAAATTCTGGGCTATACAGAATTTCAGAGGCCAAATTCTCAAAACCATGTGGTAGTTATTGGGTCTTCTTGGGGGGAAAGGACAGATTTCAGTATCAAGAAATGAGCAATACACTGAAATAAAAAGAAAAYAGGGTAAGTGTTTGGAAGATTGGAGAAATGTGTAGTGAAAGGAGCTTAAAGTCCAGTTTGAGCCCTGCTTTAGCTCCTTCTCTGTATAATCTCAGCCAAATCACTCACCTCTGGGAGTCTTGGGTTTCTCCCCATAAAATAGAAATAGAAAGATATTGCTCAAAGACATTTTTATTTTATTTATTTATTTTGTGATACAGAAGACAAAACCCAGGAGTGCTCTACCACTGAGCTTCATCCCTGATATGAGTACCAGAAATATTATGAGAATTGATTATTAACTATACTGATTATTGATTAAATATTGAGTGATGTAAGCAGTGTGCCAATGATGTAATGTGAACTGCAGAACTTAGATAGACTTAAGTTAGTGATGTAAGAGGATACACCCAGGGTGTAACCAGGTACGCCCCAGACGCCACCCAGCTAACATCTGGAGACACAGCTGAATGAGGGCTTTAAAAACCTAGAATTCTGTGAGCTGGTGGGGCTGACAGGACTGAGATACCTCCATTGCTTTTGCCACCCCACCTGTACCAGACTCCTCTGGCCTGGGTCGAGTTCTAGCATAGGTGAGCATCTGGGACCCTTGGGTATAGACTCAGGACTTAGAATTAGGATGTGTGTGTTGACGTGTGATGAGCATTAATAAAATGGATTTGATTGAATCTAACTACTTCTCTGACTATAAGAACGGCTGGTGACAATCCCCTGTGTGGGGCCACCCAGAGCTATCTGAAAAGCCTCCACTCAGCCTTGGAACCAAGGAGATTTTGGTCTGGCATGGCAAGTCATTTTGTGGCTTTGTAAGGATGACCTTAACCTAAGAAGGGCCTTAGCCTAAGTAACTCCATTTTAAAATAAAACAGCAGTCCCCACTACACAAGCTTCAGAGCCCTCCAATGTTCTCATCAGGCATAGCCTGATAAGTCACYTTCCACAACCCTGATAAAACTCAGAGTGAAGTCACTGTCATTTACTTTCGCCCTGATAAAGTCAGAGGTGAGAGATCAGGGCAGAAACCACCAGACCAGATGTCCTGACCCTAGAATAAAAGACATCACTGAGAAACCTGGTAATGGCTGATAGGGAATGAAAGGGCGGGTAGAAGCCCCAAAATTTAGCATAAATGATGGAGCAAATGAACAGACATTTAGTCAGCCGACGCTCATGCCCACATGTTAGAGAGCCAGATGAGGACCTGGACTGACATCCCAACTCTTCTCATCATCTGCTTGATCCTCTACATCATCCTCACCACTCTCAAACTCTATAGCCATATCTTGACCCTGGTGAGAACAGTGACTTCTCCTTACAACCCTCTCCTCAGTGGGTCATTCTCTCCACCCCAGGAGAAGCCTCCATTGGTTCCTGACCTGATCACAGTGGTCTGAGTGAATGTGCATCTGCTGGACTTAAGGCCTAAGGCTTGAGACTTTAGATCTGGCACTTGAGCTTAGCATGCAGAGGGAATGTGTGTCATGAGTCTGTCATGATTAAGGGTGTTTGCAGTGCTTAGAATGGACTTAGAATTATTTGTTTTGGATTGATTATGTCTATTGCAGGGCTCAGCATTAAAGATTGTTGTTTTCTTGATTAAGAACCTAAAGAGTGAAATGGTATTGAATAATTTGAGTGAAAAAAGCATCAAAAAGGGCATTAGCACATAGACATTCTTTATTTCTCCCCTCGACTGCATATGTCACACCTTTGCCCATTGCAACAGGCTTCTCCCACTTAATGGATTACGCAAAGCACTTTGTGACCTCAGTCTTTGGTTGGCTAGGGAGGCTGCTCTGTATCTCTGGAGTTGGCATGCCCACTGGGCTTGGACAGCTCAMCTCCTACCTTATTTGGCAAAAGAACATTCCATGGAAAACCTTTGAAGAAGCCCTCTTGTATAAATAAAGCAAATGTGGGCTCTTCTCTCTCTCCAKTGTGGAAGCAGGACCCCTAGGGTTGCAGAGCCATCATATCCTCACTTTTCAAAACTACTTTCTGTGTAGGGTGATTTTTTTTTTTTTTTTGCCGAATTCTTTTCTTAGCATTATTTCGCAGCCAGCCTGCTCCACACAGAGAAAACCCAAATTTCACAGCCCGTGTGGGACATGGACAAGAATCCCTAGTCATTTTTATTTTTCATTTTGAGACAGAGTCTCACTAAGTTGCTAAAGCTGGCCTCAAACTTGTGATC